AAGGAACCTCTCTCCTTTCTGGTCTAATCCTGTATAGCTGGGGCAACTCTTGCCCGCTCCGAAAAAACTGCGGAAGTTGACCCAAAGACCTGTGCCGGCTCCGGCTGGCTTTGGCACGGCACAGACCCCCGCGCTCTGTATGAGCATCATCCGCTTACCTGCGCCGTACGCACAACGCTGCCGTCGAGGCGCTTCCCAGCCGTGAGTGACTTTCTCGCCTTTCTCTCATTTCAGGATAAATGCTTGAGGAAAATCTCCAGCGGGCTTTACACGTTTCAGACATACCTCGAGTACGTACAGGAAACTTTTACAAGCGAGAAGCAAAGCATCAAATCGCTGTGCTACAGTACGGAGCACCTGGCGCGCACCATAAGACAGATGGTGAGTTGGGTTTTAAATTCACTCCGATAACGCTCGCGGCTTAGCACCCATGTGTAGTCAGAGAAATAGGACGCTATGTGAAGCAGAACATTCCCCAGCAGAAACAGGTGACGGTCCCTTACGCTCAGGTACTTTCCCTTATGGACTGGCTTACAGGTTTTACAAGGTTTTGTTTTCTTAAAGAAACAACTCTTCTTCCTACTTTCAGTTGTTATTTCTAACTTCCAAACCAACAATTAAACGCCTCGTGTTGGTTTGAGAACAAATACACTGATGCTGCCCGGCTGATAGAAATAAGATTTCTCAGGGAGCTTGTTCCTAATTGTGGTACTGCAGTTCAGTCTGAGCCTTCTAATGCTGCAGTCCCCCGAGAAATAAGTAATTTAAAAAAAAAACCAACAAAACACAGAAATAAAAAGAAATATATTTTTACAACATTATTAATCTTTACAACTCTCCAGAACAAACTTTTAAGCCAAGCTGTATGGCATATTGAGATACCGGCAGCTTAAAAATCAAGGAAGACCGTTAAAGTCGGGATGTAAATTAGGAACTGGACTAAATAAAAAGGTGCTGCCTATTGAAAAGCACCCATTTTGCTTGTAATCATCATGAAAAAAAAAATCTTCCTTCTTTACAAATACCCGATTTTCTTTTGGTTTGGTATATTAAATGTTATACATTTCTGATAGTCATCTGTGTTTTGGAGAGCTTTGAAAGATCACACTTCAAAAATCCACTTCATTCCAGCAGTTCTTACTCAGGTTAACAACCCTTAACATGAATACTTCCTTTGTCATCAGGGAAACGATTTGCCCGAGTTAAGAACCACCCAGGTGGGCAAGGACTGCAGAAATCGCTGGGCATTATTTCCTTCAAGGTGTTTTTTGGCATCTGATAAGCCCATTGTGTGTCTGCCATGCCTTTCCTAACATATTTATTTACATCCATCATTCTTTAAGTGAAAGGGAGCTGAACTGCTTTTTTCACACTGTGCTAGCTAAGAAGAATAGTCCCGTCACAAGACAGCAACTGCCTGCTGGCTTCCAACTTGATCTATTAGTTTGCAGAAAGTTCGTTTCATAACTGGGGGGGCTGGCTTTTTTGGAAAATTAGTAGGATCGAGGTAATTGGAACAGGCGCAATTAAACACAGGGATCAAAAGCAAAACCTGTACTTACAGAAACAACAGAGTTTTGAGAGGAGTCTTGTTCTCCAGGTTGGAAATGTTTCTTTAGGAGAGAAGTCTATCTGCTTTTTAAGGCAAGGAGAGCAAGGACAGAACCTGTCACTCGTGGTCAGGTAGATCCATCGGCACGACACCTGTCTGGATATCCAGATCCAAACTTCCACAGCATGCAACAAGGAGTTGGATATACCAGTAACTCGGGGTGGGATCAGAATCCACTTCCAAGTAGTCTGGACAGAAAAAACATTTCGTATCTTACCGAATTTCACAAATAAGATGTTCCAGAAGGAAGTGCGCATGCTTTTGTCACTTGTTAAAGGGTAGGAGAGATCCTAAACTCAGGATGAAGCGGATGCTTTACTGTTAGACTTCCAGACCCCAAATCATCTAAAGCAGCTCCACGATTTGGGTGAGCGACTCCCGTTTTCAGAAGTCACCTACCCACTTCATGGGACGAGTTCTTAAAAGGCATTTGGGTAGGGGGTGCCCAGCCCTGTCAGTCAGCATTAGGTACATAGCTCCTTTTCCTCCCCTTGCCGTTAGGATCCCACGCATCAGTGAAAGCTGGTGACAGTCTCCCACGTGCCTAAATGCCTGGAAAGTAAGAACTAAGCAGCTAAATGAGTTTGATGTCTTTGGAAACGGTTAATCTACTACAAAATGTGAGAGTACTCCAATGTCATCTAATTAATGACTAAGGATGGAGCAAGCCAGGACAGGTTAGGATAAATCACGTTCAGCATCTTCCCAGCTAACCAGGCGGTCGGCAGACAGCAGGAGAGCTGCGCAGATCTGCTCAGTGCAGCGCTGTTGGACCGCGACGCCAGACGTTGCATTCAAACCAGAAAAAAAAAAATGGTGTCGATCAGATGAGACCCTTTGCTGCTTCTGCAGCAATCGCTAGCAGGTGTCAAGGTACCTCCAACCCCGCTGGAGAAGCAGGGCTGCAGGGGAGCACAGGTCCCAGGCAGGTCTGTCGGCAGCGGTACAGAAACGGTGGGTACGCAGCTGGTCAGGGACGCATTCTACCTGTGAACTGATGCTCTCCAACGAGCTCCATTACAATGTTTTAACTGGGGCACCCCAATGTTGTCTTTTTCACAGGTGATAAACCCCAACGAGGTGATCATCCCAGACTCGGCTACCCAGGAATCCCTCCGCGCAAAGCTGAAGTCCGATAAGACCTGGATAGAGAAAATCACCATCCACCTCATCCTCCGAGACTTTACTTCATTTATGGAGAAAACAGTGAGGGCCGTTCGCTATTTGAAAAATACCAGGAGTTTCAGTGTCTGAATGTTTTAATTCAGGCACAATCCTCTGTTACAAATCTGTCATGTGGCAGATGACAGTGTTGTTCTGTTTTAGAGAACCAGAAATAGTTAACAATGGTGGCATTTTTATATATTCTCGTTTCCTGCCAGGAAACTATTTATTGTATTTAAAATATTTATTTGTTTCTAATGTTTCCTATTTATATTTTCACTATTTAGAAATAATTTAAACAGAAGGACCTATTTTATTTCATTCCTCACGGTACTATTAAATAAGTTGATATTCTGAATATGTATTCAACAAAAAAAAAAACCACGTATTTTCAGAAGCCAGAAAGACTGCCGTATAACTTATGCTTTTAATATATTTGAGAGATGGTATTTATGACTTATTTATATTTTTAGAACAAATAAAAGCTGATTTTTAAAAAAACTTGTTTACCCTGTTTGAACTTTAAATAAGGCTAAAAAACTCTAATTTATCCAATTTTTAATACTGGCCACTATCAAAATACCCACTTTCAAGAATTTAAATTTTATCTGTATTATTAGGTCAGTTATCTACATAGCACAAACCTACACACATCCACAGACACCTCGATCAACATATAATTCTTAAAATGGGATGGACAGGAACCAGATGACTGAACATGGCACTTCAGAATGAACACAATAAAGCATCATTGCTCTTGAGAAACCAACGAACAATGAGTCCCCTGTACTTGACAAACAACACTCCATGAAACTGTAACTGGTTTCAAGCAGATGCTTACAAGTCAAGCAATCTCTTTTAAATGAATAAAATGGTAAGATACTGAATTAACAGGTTTGACATGAATACTGTCATCTGATTAGACTTACTGCTGCCATCCAAGGGAATTTTCCAAGTTTGCTTAAACATCTCTCCCCGCCCTCCTCCCCCAAGAAGCAGAAAAAAAAAAAATCTTAGGTTCTTTCCTTGGGTGATATAAATCAACATATTGCTGCTAAGCCGTCAATGGCTGTTGATGATCTAATGCATTTGTCTTTCGTCATTTATATTCCACTAGCACGGACAAGCCACATAACATGAATGCAAATTCTTGAATACTGTGAAGTTAAAAAAAAAAAAAGAACATGTCCTTAGCCTGAGTACCAAACTGCTGAAATGTTCCTTAGCTGTATCATCTGCTTCACTGTGGCTGTGCAGACACCTCGTATACCCAAACTCAGAGGAATTCACAGCATACATAAGGGATGCAAGCGGCCAGAGCCCCTCAAGCTTCATCCCTCCCTGCAAGTGGTGGAACTTTAATCACCCTCTCTCTTTTGCTCAGCACAGTGGTGGAGATGAAAGGCAAGCCCTGGAGTGTGAATGTCAGTAAATTCTCCTCTTCCCCTGAGCGATCTGGATCTGATCACCCACACATGCATTCCACCACTGGGGATTCCAAAACAGTGACCAGTCCACCCAGAGACCGCATCTCAGAGGCCCAAAACAAAACAAACCACAGCTTTGCCCAATATGGTAAAGCCAACGTCTCGAGTGGTGCGACAAGTCAAGAAGGAATGAGGAGACCTCAAGGTGGTCACTTTCAAGATGCCTGTGCTGAATGAGGTTTTCTCACAACACGCAAGATCCTGCTTTAGCTGTCCTGGCATGTGCTCTAGGAGATGTAGGAAAGCCTGGTCTGACTTTTTCACAGCTTACCTTCACAGAAATTTCTTGGTGAACATTTGGTTAGAGACTGTTCTGGCCCTTACGATGTCCATAATTGCTGTGAGACCCAAATGTGGATCCCACGTTGGAGCTTTTAAGGCCTTTAATGTTACTATGCGAGAACAGGGGGAGGGAGGGGGAAAAGAAGGAAAGACAGACAGACCAAAACCAAAAGTATCTCCTGGTGTCACCTCTCCCAGTAGTGGGTGGTTGCCAGAGATCACCATTAGTGACTATGCACACTGCAGCTAAACAAACTCACACTGATGTCCTCCTTCAATTTCAGGAGGACCCCATTCAATACGGGGTATTGAAATCTCATACAACTGATAGACAAGCACCCACACTTCCCACCGGCACCCTTCAGCTGGTGGCTACCCCAGGCTGTCCATCGTTCTAGTAAAGACACAAATGCTACTACATTTTAGGATGCAGAAGATGAGCAAAGATCACCACTTGCTGAGAGGGGAGGTCAACTTCAAGTCCTCCCTGGGGTGATGGGTATTGCTGATGCTGCCGCTGAGCTGCCATTATTTTACCCGTGGGCTCCTCCACTGCCACCCGTAATTCTCAGGGTGCTTCAGTGCTGCAGCTGCCTTGCTGGCCATCGTTTTGCTGTCACTGTCCCAACTTCAGGGACTGTCCCCCAGGTAAGCACCACTTGCCGAAATCTACACTCACTGGTGTCTGTGGCACATGAAGACTCACAGTGGGGAATTTATATGGAAGCCAAGAGGAGAACTACACACCGTTGAGCATGTTACGGAGCCTCTCTAACTTACTAACTTACTGTCCTTCTTCCAGTTTGCTGTGTATACAGTGTTTTACAACAATCAATAAACACACATGGGCATTTATTTTAGCTGGCAGACCAGCACAAACACATAAACCCCCAGAAAAACAGCAAAAATGAGTGTTCTTAACTCTTAGGAATCAATCCTCAAAAATAACTGCTACTTTTAGCAACAATGAAATATCTCAACACTTCTACTGAAAAGAGCTCCTCCTAACTGACAGCTAACTCATAGCAAAGCAAAAAAACCCAAACCCCCAAACCAGAAAGAACTGCTAATAATTGCCTCTAAAAACTAGGAAACTTCCTAGCAAAGAAGCATTTTGGTTGTTGCTGTACAGGACCAGCCTCTCCCCGCAGACCCCAGCTAGCCCTTCCCCGTGTTTGCGTGGCATCCCTACTCCTTAACCTCACACCGAGATTTCAGAATGCTCAGCCGATTACTAACTCCCGTCATCCTGAATTTGCTTTCCCAATGCCGGAAGATAGCAAAGCTATGTTAAAAAGCATGCACACACTCTACAGAATGCAAGAAAAAGCCCACGGTATTAACAGGCAGTGTTAAAGATGAGAAACTCAGTGCTGTGGGCATGATACTAAAATGCTAGAGAGAAAAAAAAAATTAGGGACAGAATGCAAGCTAATCCTACAGTAATCTATAGTGCAGAGCTTAATTTTTTTTGCAATCACAGTCTCTGAAGTATCATTTTTCTATTTTTTAACCATACTTTTTCATCAGATGTGTAAGAAAAACAAAACAAAACAAAACAAAAAACCAAAAGAAAACAAAAAAAAAACCAAACCCCAACACATTTCAGCCTGATCTACTTCCCAGGTTGCAGTACCATCCCCTGGCCCAGTAAGCTGAGGTACTGATGTAAACACTAAATTTTGCCAGAAAGAACAACAGCTACTTGAAAGAGACTGTCTCCAGCCCTAGTACCTTCTAAGATTTTATTAATGGCTGATGGCAAATGAGGTTAGCAAGACAGAGCTGACGCTAGAGGAGATGGAAGAGTTAACACCACCAGTGAAGCGAGGGGGGCAGGATCACGTTTCAGCAGTAAGGAGCCATTAGGTTGGCTTAATTCAATGGGAAACTTCCCCCCAAGTTTGCCACTGTTATTTGTGACTAACAATCTTTTCCACATTCGATTTAAAAGATAAAATGACAGCAAGGTAAGTATACAACAGTATACATCAAAGTCAGATCCTAATTCTCAAGAAGTGCTGCTAAATATATATATATATATTACCATAAACCTTGTGATATTGGGTGGGGAGCTTTCTGTAAACCCTTGCTTCTTGAGTTAAATGATTAGGTAACAATTTCTGATCTCTCTCAGTCAATTTCCTTCTTCTTCCTGATAAGAGGAAAATCAAACCCCACCCCCTCACCCCCAGAAAATGCAACCTCTGCAGGCTCCAATGCTGAAATAACATTTCCTCCATGAACTCTTAACAAAATCAACTAATTTCTGTAATCTAAACATATTTAACCAAACCTCAGTATACTTTCACGACTGACTTTGGCGGTCTCATCAGATAACACACTACAGAAATTTTGCAATCCGAACTTCTACTCAGTGACCAGAATCTAAGAAGATTCAATCTTTCATGAGAAAATTTAGGGTTTTTTAAAAAAAACCTAAACATTAATCTTCAAATTCAGAAAACTCGGATTTGATTTGCCCTGCCATATTGATTTCTACCAGACAGTGCTTAGCCAACACAGTATTTTCAAGATTTTATTCCATTTCAACAGTACTGAGTGCAAAATTCTGCCTGGTTTCAGTAACAACCATCATATTCATGATTAGTTGTTCCTTTAGCCCTTTGAACTTACATATTCATAGATACAGTTCTATATCCTGTGCCATATAAATAGAGACAATATGACGTATAAGCAAATCATACTAACAGTTTTATTACTCAAGGGAATCACTTAGAGCTGTTACACACATGTACACAAAAGTAAAGTCACCCAGGGAAAGCTCAAAGTCCCGGCCTCAGCTCAAAAGAGAAAACCTGCCTACCACACCATCACTACTGCACAGCAATAGTCTTTGCTCTTCCACTTCGAACAATTTGGGAAGAGATGTAAAGGGAAAAGGGATTATCTGCTGACTTTGCCTGTGGATCCCACATTAGCATACGCTAACAAATACAATAAAGTTCAAAGACGTCCCTCAGATTGCGAGACCTATACCCCTCCTGCTCATAGAGCACAGTCACCAAGGACAGGGATATAGAAGAAAATGGAGTTTGTTAGAAGAGAGACCATTTGGGATGAAGGCAGATGCATAGGCAATCTTCTAGCCTGGCTGGAAAGGGGCTGCTTTCGGGTTGCACTGTCACAAATGGCACCATTTGGGGGGGGTCTCTGAGACAGTGGATCCTAAGAAACAGAATTGGAACATAACTGGAAATCTGGGTTTATCTCACTTCCCAGGCTAATAACTGCTCCCTGCTTTGCAGTTGCTCTAACTTCTTATTTTTTGTAGAAACTTGGAATTGATTTCTTAATCAGAAGACAGTATGAGAGCAAATACCCTTTTCCGCTTTGGCA